GCCCACACCTTACTAGTTCTAAACCTAGCCTTCGTATTTAACCTTCACACTTGTTAATTCTTGCTTCTACGTTAGTTCTAGATTCTATTACCCTTGTTCTAGCTTATATACAGCCAGTTCTAGCCCACACCTTGCTAGTTCTAAACGCAGTCCGTGTTTTTTACATGCACACTTATTAATTCTATCTTTTAGCTTAGTTCTAGCTTTTATTACCCTAGTTCTAGCTTGTATACATCCAGTTCTAGCCCATACCTTGTTAGTTCTAAACCCAGCCTGTGTTTTTTACACGCACACTTGTTAATTCTAGCTTCTAGCTTAGTTCTAGCTTCTATTACCCTAGTTCTAGCCTGTATATTCTAGCTTAGTTAATTCTAGCTTAGTTAGTTCTAGCCTGTATACTTGTTAATTCTAGCTTGTATACAGGCAGTTCTAGCCTGTATACAGGCAGTTCTAGCCCACACCTTGCTAGTTCTAAACCCAGCCTTCGTATTTTACCTTCACACTTGTTAATTCTTACTTCTAGCTTAGTTCTAACTTCTATTATCCTAGTTCTAGTTTGTATACAGCCAGTTCTAGCCCACACCTTGCTAGTTCTAAAGCCAACCTTCGTATTTTAACTTCACACTTGTTAATTCTTGTTTCTACGTTAGTTCTAGCTTTTATTACTCTAGTTCTAGCATGTATACAGTCAGTTCTAGCCCACACCTTACTAGTTCTAAACTCAGCTCGCGTTTTTTACCTTCACACTTGTTAATTCATGCTTCTACGTTAGTTCTAGCTTCTATTATCCTAGTTCTTCACACTTGTTAATTCATGCTTCTACGTTAGTTCTAGCTTCTATTATCCTAGTTCTAGCTTGTATACAGCCAGTTCTAGCCCACACATTGCTAGTTCTAAACCCAACAAGGGTTTTTTATATGCACACTTGTTAATTCTAGCTTTTAGCTTTGTTCTAGTTTTTATTACCCTAGTTCTAGCTTGTATACAGCCAGTTCTAACCCACACCTTGCTAGTTCTAAACCCAGCCTTCGTATTTTACCTTCACACTTGTTAATTCTTGCTTTTACGTTAGTTCTAGCTTCTCTTACTCTAGTTCTAGCTTATATACAGTCAGTTCTAGCCCACACCTTGCTAGTTCTAAACCCAGCCCGTGTTTTTTACATGTACACTTGTTATTTCTAACTTCTACCTTAGTTCTAGCTTCTATTACCCTAGTTCTAGCTTGTATACAGCCAGTTCTAGCCCACTACACTTAGCTAGTTCTAAACCCAATAAGGGTTTTTTACATGCACACTTGTTAATTCTTTTTTCTACGTTAGTTCTAGCTTCTATTACCCTAGTTCTAGCTTGTATACAGCCAGTTCTAGCCCACACCTTACTAGTTCTAAACCCAGCCTTCGTATTTTACCTTCACACTTGTTAATTCTAGCTTGTATACATGCTAGAACTAGGGTAAGGAAGCTAGAACTAACGTAGAAGCAAGAATTAACAAGTGTGAAGGTAAAATATGAAGGCTGGGTTTAGAACTAGCAAGGTGTGGGCTAGAACTGGCTGTATATAAGCTAGAACTAGGATAATGGAAGCTAAAACTAACGTAGAAGCATGAATTAACAAGTGTGCATGTAAAAAAACGCGGGCTGGGTTTAGAACTAGTAAGGTGTGGGTTAAAATTGGCTGTATACAAGCTAGAACTAGGGTAATAGAAGCTAGAACTAACGTAGAAGTAAGAATTAACAAGTGTGAAGGTAAAATACGAAGGTTGGGTTTAGAACTAGCAATGTGTGGGCTAGAACTGGTTGTATACAAGCTAGAACTAGGGTAATAGAAGCTAGAACTAAGCTAGAAGCTAGAATTAACAAGTGTGCATGTAAAAAACGCGGGCTGGATTTAGAACTAGCAATGTGTAGGCTAGAACTGGCTGTATACAAGCTAGAACTTGGGTAATAGAAGTTAGAACTAACGTAGAAGCTAGAATTAACAAATGTGCATGTAAAAAACGCGGGCTGAGTTTAGAACTAGCAAGGTGTGGGCTAGAACTGCCTGTATACAAGCTAGAACTAGGGTAATGAAAGATAGAACTAAGCTAGAAGCTAGAATTAACAAGTGTGTATATAAAAAACATGGGCTGGTTTAGAACTAGCAAGGTGTGGGCTAGAACTGGCTGTATACAAGCTAGAACTAGGGTAATAGAAGCTAGAACTAACGTAGAAGCAAGAATTAACAAGTGTGAAGGTAAAATACAAAGGCTGGGTTTAGAACTAGCAAGGTGTGCGCTAGAACTGGCTGTATACAAGCTAGAAGTAGGGTAATAGAAGCTAGAACTAAGCTAGAAGCTAGAATTAACAAGTGTACATGTAAAAAACCCTTGTTGGGTTTAGAACTAGCAAGGTATGGGCTAGAACTGGCTGTATACAAGCTAGAACTAGGATAATAGAAGCTAGAACTAACTCGAGGGCTACTAGAACTACCACGATAGCATCTAGAAATAACATATTATTAGGTATAACTATTATCAAATATAATTAACAACGATTTATAAAAACATGACTGTATCCTCATTTATAACAACGATTTATAACTACCGTCCCAGCTTACAATGATTTTTGGTAATTAAATATTTTTTCAGCCTATTTTGCTAATTAAGTTTTAAAAATGGTCTATTTTAAAAATTTGTTCGAAATTAAAATACAAAAAGACTGTGCACATTAGGTTTATTGCAAATTCAGCTTCCTCCAAAAAGACGTGGATGTCTCGTGAAAGTGGAAAAATAGGGACAAAACTTTTGACTATTTTTTAAAATTAAATCGTTCATTTATTTATAGCTGGTCAAACATTTTTTCTTTTTTTTCTTTTCTTCTTCTAGCTAATGGATTAATCCTCTGTGCGTCTCGGCGGCGACGATCTACGGCGGGGGAGTGGCGGCGATCTACGGCGACAAGGAAGGCGGTGGCGAACTCGAGGGGAGCCTTGGGGGCCTGAGCGGAGGCGGCAACGGCGAGGAGGGCGAGGGCCAGGGTGACGAGCTTGAGAAAGCTCTTAGTTTTAGAGAGGGGAGAGAGAGAGAGAGAGAGAGAGAGAGAGAGAGAGAGGAGATGAGAGAGAGAGATGATATGAGTGCTGGGTCTGAGGGATTGAGGAGAGAGGATAAGGATAATTTTGGGATTTTATCTTAGCTGACATGTAATAATTGATAAAAAAAAGGCTACAGTACAAAGTGTCACACATCAATGGGCTGATTCACATGGGGAAAACTATGAGGGGCATCGTCACATGAAGTTTCTGATTTTGGGGCCTGTACACATTTTTCCCTTATAATAAATACAAATTATTTTTTATACTATTATCATATTTTTAAAAGGCTAATAAGATGAAAGGTAACATTAATCCTCAATTAGAGATGAAACCAAAAGGTACAAGGCATACACCTAATGAATTTGTCTTACTTTTTAATTTTTACTAGAATTTTAAATATTATGTGAAGATAAATTAGAGATAAATTTTAAATTTTCTTTGAAACAACATAATTATATAATAAAATAATAATGTGACCAAAGGTTTCAAAAAAGTGAGAAAATGCATAATTAATAAGAGTTATATAATTAGTGAATGATTAATTACAACCAATGGCATATTTGAGAATTTTCAAACCTAAAATGGTAAAAATAGAAATCAAAAGTTTTGACAATGCAATCCTCTTTTACATATAGTATAGATATAGATATAGATGTGTGCTTCCTTTTATCTAGATTTCTTAGAATTTATTCCTATCCTTTTATCATTTATGTAGAGCTTTAAATCTAACCCTCTTAAGATGTTGTATAGTTTACAAATTATAACACATAAATGAGTAATTAGACTTGTGATTTGTTCCAATTAAGGAGTTGATGGTGACAAAACACTGATACTTGACTGATGTGGCAAGTTAGCAATGAAGAAGATGTAAGCAACAGGTTGGATTATAAGTTTGAAAAAGAACCAAGAGAAATAATGTGAAATAATCTTATTTGTTGGGTGTGGTATTAATGATAAAAGATTGAGAAAATTGAACCTTACGTAATTACCGTCTAATTGAAAGTGATCTCATCTCTTTTTATATTGTCATCTTTATTAAATGTGGGTTGTTATTCCACTACTTTATGTTCGTGGTGCTAAAGTTCCCAATCCTAATAGGTAACTAAGATTTTAATTTTTTTAATCACTTTGAGAGTTGAAATGGTTACATTTGCAATTTCTATAGTCAGAATTCAGAAAGCGTTTGGATTGGCTTGTATGTACGTTCGTGCTTATCTTCCATTTCTTTATTACTTTATTGAAGAAGAAGTAACACTTTGTTTGAATACGGAAACCTCATTTATTTCCTCAAATATTTTTTCCTAAATTCAACCGGGAATAAGGGTTTTCTTTTGTTGGTGGATACATGCAACACTAAATTTCTTAAGGGCATGTTTGGCTATTTCCACGAAAAAAACGGAAATGAAAAACCCTCTTTGGAAATGATTTCAACACATATCAAGAGGTTTCCCAGTTTTCTTTTATTTTGTTTGTTTCGCAAAGAAACCTCCCCTTTTCACTGCCAAGTCACACAAAAAACAAAAAAAGCCTCCATAGTAACAGTTCTTTTGATTTTCATTTCTTTAGTTTGTTTGACAAGAAGAAAAAGAAAAAGAGAAATGACCCATTAAAAAAGAAATTTATTAAAAAGAAAAAGAGAAATGACCCATTAAAAAAGAAATTTATTCATCATGATACTCTCCAATAGTGCATTTATTAATTAAAAACTCATTGTTTATTCATCATGATACTCTCCAATAGTGCATTTATTAATTAAAAACTCATTGATGTGACATTTCCAAGTATTTTCACAGCTTTTTGTTGTGAAAACACATTTCTTGAAATGTGACATGGCAGCCTAGGTGGCATCCCCATTTCCTTAAATAAAAAAATAAAACAAACATGTGAAATGGAAATATGTTGAAACCAAAAGCTGATGTGGATGGGGGGGATTTCCTCAAAGGTGACATGGCGGCTAGTTTTCTTCTTCTTTTTTGGCAAACAAACAGCCCCTAACAGTCCAGTGTTAGCAAATTAATCACCGTCAAGAGACAGGATATCAGTCCGTTTATATGAGGAAAAGGATATCCATGGATGGTTTTCTTTTTAGCAGAAAAACAGGGTGAGATGTCCTATTCATATTTATATATATTAACATGATACAGGAAAAGAGATTACATCATTTCAGAGAGGGAAAACACGGTAGAAGAAGCGGGCAATGAGCGGACATTTGTCGTCACCTACCAAACTAAATCTCACTGCATTTCCCCCAACTAAAAGACAAAAACAACTAACCACTGGTAAACTCTGTCTATAACTCACAAAAGGTATAACAACTTAGTTTGAGGATTTCTTCTAACAACAAATGAAATCTAGCTGGAAAAAAGAAAAAGCAACGACCAAGGAACATGGCTAGCAGCGGAAATCTAGAGATCGGCAAGGAAGTTGTCACCAGAGGCATCTGGGGCACTCTTCTTAGCGAGCTCTTGAAGACCAAGGTTAAAAGCTGCCCTATGAAGTCTCCTTGCAAGCATGTCCTCTTCAGCACCTGACCAAAAAATAGTGAATCTCGCAATATTAGAGGCAATATGGAGATGATTAGATTGTGAATCCTTAAACATAAGAGAGTTTATGCAATTCCAAATTCGCCAGCAAAAACAAGGCAACAACAACTTCCATATGACTTTAATATCCGAACAGAGACTAGGATTTTTGTGAAGAAGAATCAATTCTTCCATGTTGAGAGGCCAATAGTTGGCAGGGAGATGGAGGAGAAGAGAATTCCAGTCAGAGCGGGCAAATGTGCATTTAAGAAACATGTGATCATGAGTTTTAATTTCCATATAACAGAATGGGCATCAAGGGTCACCAATCCATCCCTTGGTGACCAGATTTGCCCTCGTGTTCAACTTCTTATGTGTGATAATCCAAAAAAGGACTTTTATGTACCTTCATGGAAATGTGAGATTTCCAATTCATATTGAAGAACTGGGATTTGATACCCCCCGAGATAACAAAGAAGAAATAGGATTTGACTAAGAATATCCCCGATGGGCGAAGAGGCCACCATAAGTCGTCGGGAACAGAGAAGTCTCAGGGGTACATAAGGGTTAAGAAGGAGTGAAGTTTGTCTACATCTAACCTCTCTTAGGTGGAGATACCCCTTCTGATGAGAGGATGCCAATGCCAAGAATTACGAAGCATAAAACCTTGAGACCTGGTGCAGCAATTTTTGGAGAGAGCAAGCTGATATGCCTTTGGGAAGAGACTGCAAAGAGAGTTAGCAGAAGACCATTTATTGTGCCAAAAACTACACGCTTTGCCCTCTCCAATATTCCATCTGACCAAGTTGAAGAAAGTGGAGTGAATGGAATAAAGATCATGAATAAATATTGAACCCGAACTCTTTGGGGGATGAGATTAGAACCATCTTTGGAGTAGAGGGAGAAGAACACTTTGCTAAGATATGAGCTTCTATCAAATATTTTTCATATCCATTTAGATATGAGAGCTTTGTTGAAAGAGGGGATATCAATAACTCCAAGCCCTCCTGCACACTTTGGCTTGCAAATAGTCCCCCAATTAACTAGGCATTTGACTCTAGAAGGAATGTTACTACCATTCCAAAGAAAATGCCTCCTGAGTTTGTCAATGGCCTTAATGAGCCACATCGGTAGCTTAAAAAAGGACATAAAGTAGAGGGAGAGGGAGGAGAGGACTAAATTTAATAAAGTCAGCCTACCACCGATAGATAGAGATTTATTTTTCCAGAGAGATAGCTTCTTCTTGAAAGAGTCTAAAAGAGGTTGCCACTCTCTTTTAGAGAGGGAACCTCTTTTGAGAGGAAGGCCCATGTAAGAGAAAGGAAGAGAGCCTACAGAGCAATTGAGAGTAGCTGCTAATTAGTTGCCTTTGAGAGGAATTTTGCCAAGATAGAATAGGTTGGATTTATGGGGGTTGATACAGAGCCCTGAAACGTTAGCAAAAATGAAGAGAATAGTTTTGAGAACAGATATGTCAGAATTGAAGCCTTACTGAAAATGATGGTGTCATCAGCGAACTGAATAGTTCTGATGGAGTTTAGCTCTCCCTTCAAGTTAAGATCCGTTAAATCCCCCAAGGCAGCACTACAGGATAACATCTTACTCAGTACATCAACAACAAGCAGAAAAAGCAGAGGGGAGAGGAGATCTCCTTGTTTAAGGCCCCTGAAGCATCTGAAAAAGTTTGTAAGGGAGCCGTTCACTAGAACAACAGATTTAGAGGAAGACAAGATGAGGTGAATCCAGAGGCACCACTTAGGACCAAAGCCTCTAGCTTGGAGAAGGAAGAGGAGGAATTCCCAGTTCACACAGTCAAAAGCCTTAAAAAATTCCACTTTGATGGCACAAATTTCTTTTTTTCCCAGAAGAGCAGAAATTGATCATTTCGTGGCCTAGAAGAAAAGAGTCCAGCGAGGATTTGCCAGATTAAAAAGCAGATTGGGAATTATCAATGAGGAGGGGCAGAAATTTTCTCAACCTATTAGCCAAATTTTTTGAGAAGATTTTGCAAGAGCTATTGATGATACTGGTAGGCCAGAAGTCTTTGGGGTTGTTTGCTCCATTCTTTTTAGGAATAAGTCAAATATGAGAGTAATTGAGGTATGGGGAATTGGGGGGGGGTGAGAGTACAAAGATCCGTGGATGAAATACCAATGACATTCAGATTGGATATACGGCCAAAATACTCTGGAAAAATAGAATAGGAACCCATCTTAGCAGGGAATTGCTGGATGAAGATCAAAACTGCACCTCTGTAATTTCCTGCTGACGAAAGGGAAAAACAAAGGAAGAGAGATCGATATTGTTTTGGGGGCACAGAAGATTTCAATTAACTTTAAGCCTTGATTCTGGAGGTTTTTTGAACAGATTTGAGAAAAAGGCATAAAAAGATTGTTTGATGTCACTATCTGATGAAATAATGGAGTCATTGATGATAAGATGAGGGATAAATTTTTTTCTGCAATGATAGGAAGCAATTTTGTGAAAGAAAGTTGAGTTGTTGTCACCTTCTTTTAACCATTGAATACGGGATCTTTGTTTCCATTTAATCTCTTCAGCTTTAGCAAGAGAGAGGAGCTGATCCTTCAGATAAGATCTATGCTGAGATTCTTGACGAGAAAGGCTTCTAGACTCTTCACAGAGATTAAGAGAGTCAATACGGGCCATATTATTAGAAAGAAGCTGAGATATGGAAGCAAAACAGTTTCTTTTCCACCATTTGATTCTATTTTTAATGAGTTTAAGCTTAAAGCGGAGAGGGGGAGGATGATTTCCCTTCAGATAGAGGGAGTTCCAACAAGATACTATGAAGGGAGGAAAAGAATGGATAATTAACCACCGTTTTTCAAATTTGAAGAGGGGGAGATTCAAAGGGGAGTTTGTGTCCAACATGATAGGACAGTGATCCGAACATGGAGACTAGAAGGCAAATTGAACAAGAAGAGGAAATTTTGCTTCAAAATCTATCGACACAAGGAATCTATCCAGTCTAGCGAGCGATGGAGGGGATCTGTGGTTGAACCATGTAAATTTTCTCCCACTGAGGGGGAGGTCTATAAGATGAATGGAATCGAAGAGCTGATGGAAAACTTCAATATCTCTAAGAGAACCAGAACGACCACTTCTTTCCTCAAAGCTTAAAATCATGTTGAAGTCCCCGAAAACCACCCAAGGCAAGGCATGAGAAGCTCTAATCCTATCCAGTTCCCACCAACATACTTCCCTATCCACCGAATCACAAGGGGCGTATATGGAGGTGGCAACAAAACTCTAGTTGGAAGGTTTGTGGGTGAGGGTGACCGAAACAGAGAAGATATCAGATGATGAGAATGAACAAGAGAAAATATCGTCATTCCACCCAAGAAGAATACCCCCCTAGAATCGGAAGCATCAAGGGAGACCCAGGAGGAGATTTGCCTCCCCCTAAATTTCTAAGAGAGAAGGGACTAGGGGAGATGAGTTTGGTTTCTTGCAGACCCACAAGGTTGACGTTAGTTAGAGCCATACAATCCCTGACCAACCTATGTTTAGCTGGGTTGTTTAACCCTCTAACGTTCCAAGATCCGATACGCATGGAAAACAAGTAGAAGGACAACTTGAGGAAAAAAGGGGGCTCTCAGAGAGGAGGGGCCCCTTGAATCTCCATGTTTTGGATATCTAGCAGATCTAGGGGATCAACCGGGTCTTGGATACCACAGTTCACTGATATCTCCCCTAATTTCTCCAGATCAAAAGAGTTAATTGGAGGAGTAGAGGCTGAGGAGGAGGATTTGTGCTTGGAAATGCCTGGATACTTCCCTTTCTTCATCAGGGAAAGGTGCCTTCTATATGGGAGGGGCAGCGAATGCCCACTGGGAGCTTTCTTCTTAGCCACTTTAACCTTACTTTTAGCATTTTCGAAGCCTGGGGGAGGATTTGATGAAGATGCGATGTCCATGGAATCTGATGAGCTAATCTGGATAGCCTGATCAGCTTTGATGAAGAAGGCGGAAACAGAGAAACATCTTCGATTTGAGGAAAAACAACTTTGAGATTGGCCCAGGAAGCTTTAGAAATCTTAATTTTAATGTCTTTAAAAGAGACATCCATAAACTCAGTAGAAACTTCTGGATCTTCTTCTTTAGAGGGAGGAAGAAGCGGACCTTCGTCCTAAGACAAATGGACTTTTGCCTTTGGAGATTGGCTGCTGGGGTAGGGCTGGAGCTGGGGCCAAGTTGGCTACTGAAGAAGATTGATGATGGGGCCCTGATGAGGGAGGGTCCTCAGGAGATAAGGATGGAGCTCCTTCTTTATGAACAAAAATTTCAAAAAAGTCCCTATCCTTTCACTTTTCCGCTGAAAGGGGATCACCTAACATGGATGGTTATTAACTAGATAGCAAAAAGTTATTGAATACACTAAAAACATGATAGCACCATTCGATGATTTTTGGCTTTTATTCCCTCTTTTACACACGCGTAGATATATATATGCAAGAAAGTTACTTGCTTATTCTTTTTAGCAAATATATTTTTGAAGCTTTATGTTCAAATTAGATTTATCTAATTTGAATTTAAACACCAATTTCGATCCTAATTCACAAAAGGGTGATGGCAATTAAGAATTCGTTGTGAATTATATATATTCAGCATACATGTTTTGATTGGACTATTCGTTTTTATTACTATAGGAAGGCAACAATTTTTAACTACTCATTGAAGTTTATTCTAACTATTTTTTACACTTTTGAACAAACACAAAATAGTAATTCTATTGGATATATAGATTTTTTTTTAATAACTCATTCCGGAATCGACTCAAGATCATGGGAGCCGTTCAAATCACCCGCATTGGGTAAGTATATGCATTTTTATTTTTTCCTCATTTTGCAAATTAAAAGAAGGGCACCCTTCCTAGAAATCATCTTAGGCTCTATAATTCATTTAAAATAAATCATAATCATATATTAAATAATAATTATTTTAATTAGAAAATTAATTACTCTCTACTCATTAACTTCTTCATTTATCCGCAATAGAGGCCAAAATTCCAAAAGAAGATAAATGGAAAGAAAAAAGAAAGTAAAAAAAAAAAAAAGACTAAAAGACGAAAGAAGCAAATGAGTAGCTGCTCTTAACTTCCCTGGTCTACGGACAACATCAAACTTCAGTCCACTTTTATCCTCGACAGCCTTAATTTCCTTACTTTTTCTTTTAAGGATTAATTTCCGTACTTGTAAAAACAACAAGAAAAACCCCATCTTTGTTCTTCTCCCTTCCCCCTTTTTATTTTCAAACCCGTTATTTCTACCAAAATAGCAGAGAAAATGGCCGCAAATGAAAAGGATAACATTCTCGTTGAAGAGAGAGAGGAGGAGATGGTAGCTTTCCTTGGATCCAAGCAACCCATCAACAGAAAAGGTTGGTTCCTCAAACCCACTTCAAATTCAATCCAAAGCCCTATCTTTATTCCTTCTTCTTCTCATTGCACTGCTCTGAAGACCCCAAAGTGTAGTTTCAAAGGTTGGGTGTGCTCTCAGAGAACCTGGGACAAATGGGTCGAAAAGCTCAGGCCCAATTACAGTCATTTATGGAAAAAAGTTGGTATCTTGGATGCCATTAATGCTTCTAAGTACAGATTTAAGAGAGACCAACTCTCAATTTGGGGGGTAGTTAAGTTTTGGTGTGAACAGACCAACACTTTCATCTTTCCATGGGCAGAGGCCTCTATAACTTTAGAGGATGTCATGATTCTTGGAGGGTTTTCAGTTCTCGGTGAACCCGTTAGGGTTTCCGGGCCTTTGGAAGGTGAGCTTGGGGAGTTAGGATCTCTATTGGCTGGAGAAGTTAAGAAGTTTAACCAAAGCAAGAGCAAGAAAGCTGAATTCTCTGCCTGGATGAAGCATTACATTGTAGAAGGAAGTGGTGATGAGCTTGAGCATGTTGCATTTTTGGCTATGTGGTTGTCGAGATTTGTGCTTTTAGCACCCCCTGGAAAAATCGTAGGGTACCATGTGATCCCTGTTGCTGTTCGATTAGCTCGAGGGACAAAGATTGCCTTAGCTCCTGCTGTGCTTGCTAGTCTTTATCGAGACTTGCGAGTAATGAAGGATTACCTTGCCACTAGCGCGGTGAATAACTCGCCTTCTCTTATTGTTTGGGCTCCTTTACATATATTGCAGCTTTGGATTTGGGAAAGATTCTTGGCTCTAAGGCCGGAAACATCAAGTTTTGTGAATTTGGGTGAGCCTAGGGTTGCAAGATGGCAATGTGTGAGAAAAAAATTGGACTACCAATTTATAAAGTCGGTGATCAAATCACCAGATGAAATCCAATGGCGGCCTTATTTAGCTTGTTTGGATCATTGGTGTAATCCTTCATACTCTAGGGATGAAGGTGGGTGGATTTACGGCCATGATGCTATGGATGAAGGCATTGAATCATTTGCCCGGTGTATAAAAGCTTGTGAGTTAGTTGGGCTAGATTGTATTGAGCAATATTTTCCTCATCGGGTATCAAGGCAATTTGGATTGGATCAAGATATACCACATTCTGTTCCTCGGGCTAATTCAACATGGGAGGTTGCTTGGAGAACCTATGCTATAAGTGGGAATAATGTCAAATATTTTGTCCCTTCGAAACTTTTTGAATCAGATGTCACCTTAGAGTACTCAGTTTGGTGGGATAGTGTTCGCAAGTTGTTAAAGAAGAAGATGAAAGGAAAGAAACGGAAGAAAACCCACTCTCTACAATGTTGCTACACAAAAGAGTTGCAAGATGCAGATGATGTTGTAATCTCTGATTGGATTGCTCGAAAAAAGCAAAGAATTAGCAGTAAGAATTTGAGTAAAACTCCTCCTGAACTTTCAACAACTAAAAAAAGAAGAAATAACAGTAAGAATGTGTGTAAAAATTCTCCTGAGTTTACGACAGCTCTTAATTATTTTATAGAAAATAGAGTGATTTGTGGAGAATTAGAATCTTTAGACACAAGGAAACAAGACTCTGATGCCTTAAGCAATGTTAATATCAAAAGTGAAGCGGTTGAATCAAATGCATTGGGCATTGATGACAAGGGAGTTGAAGAATCTTCAGACACAAGAAAACAATATTCTGATTCCTTGAGCAATATCAGAGTCGAAAATGAAGCAGTTAAATCAAATACATTGAAGTTTGAAGACAAGGGAGTTGTGGAATCTTCAGACATAAGGAAACAACATTCTGATTCCTTGAGCAATGTCAATGACCAAAATGAAGCATTTAAATCAGATGCATTTGACATCGATGACAAGGGACTTGTAGAAATTTCAGACACAAGGAAGCAAGACGCTGATGCCTTGAGCAATGTCGATGTAAAAAATGAAGCAGTAAAATCGAATGCATTGGACATTGAGAAGAAGGAATTTGAAGAATGTTCAGACACAAGGGAACAATATTCTGATGCCTTAAACAATTTCAAAGTCGAACATGAAGCTGTTAAATCAAATGAATTGGACATTGAGGACAAGGGAGCTGTAGAACACATTGAGGAAACAAGTGCCGGAGATTCTGTAAGTGACCCTATAGTGACAGATGAAATTGAAGAGAATTTTGAGATGGCAGTGGAAGAAAGCACTTCAGATGGAAAGTCAGAAACAGAACTGGAAATTGAAAAGCTCAAGGAAGAAATTGCGTTGATTCATGCAAGAGTGAAGAGTTTGGAATCCCTGGCTGAGGTTCATCACTAACCAGAAACTTGTGTATTTTTAATGATTCAGTTACTCGTGATGTATGTTTATTTTTATTGCTGTAAATGCTAATCAGCTTCGTGCCTTTTATAGCTATAGGAAAATTAGCTAGTTTTACTTGTGATTTCTACCTGACAAAAATTATTGACTTTAGTTCATCAGATTCTGCTATTAAATGTTAAAGAAATACATTGACCAGGTGGAACTTTTTCTTTTTCAGTCTGAAAACCTTGTGCTGCAATCCAGACCCAGCTTACTTAAATAGCTAATGATGTTAAAATTGCAGGTGATAAAATTTGTTTTCCGTACTTCTCGTCTATGTTTAAAAATGCAATTTTGAAAGTACTCTTATGGTCTGGAATTGTAATTTGATGTATCAATTTTTTTTGACCTTAATAGATAACAAAATCAATGAAGTGAGAAAGAGAAACATTGCTTATGTGTATATTTTCTATTTTTATATCTCTATATGATGCTTCATAAGTAGTAAGTACTCTAGTATCTGTCAGCGATTTAACTTGACATTTAGTAGATTAAATTTTGTCCAGGGCAGGAACCTTTCTCCTTCTCCTATTATTTGTTATAGTTTGCGTTCACAAAAGCAATCAGATTATGATAGTATTTGTAAAGAAATAGTTTTTCCTTCACTCATGTATTCTTCTTTACTGTATAACTAAGTTACTCCTACATGTGGATTGACAATTCAATCCCAAACGCCAGCAGCTGACTTCCTCCAGTTGGCAGTACACATTGGATTGCTATCATCCTACATAAAGACGGGGTTAATGGGTTTAGGTATTACTGAGATTTAGAGCTATTGCAGGTTGCTATTAGTGTTAAGACATATTGATGCATGCTATGGAGGTTTATAAGCTGCAAGAGTATTGGTCAGAATTTTGTGTGCACCCTTGTCATTACATGCATTTTTTTGGGTGTATGTGGGTGCATGTGCATGCACTTTCCTGTTTATGCATTCTCATATTTTCTTGTACAACAAGAAAACAAAATATGACAACAAATTTTCTTCGTCATCACCATAATAGTCGAGCATTTGTACCTCTCAAGTTCTTATAGGTTCTGCATAACAAATTTTCTTCGTCATCACCATAATAGTCGAGCATTTGTACCTCTCAAGTTCTTATAGGTTCTGCATAAGTGGAAAGTTATCTATAGTGCTTAATAGTCGAGCATTTGTACCTCTCAAGTTCTTATAGGTTCTGCATAAGTGGAAAGTTATCTATAGTGCTTAATAGTTTAGATACTTGTGATGCTTGCAGTCGTTTCTGCAAAGAAGACTTCTTTTGCAACCATGATTCTTTAACCTGCATTTACTAAAGAAATAATCATGTTCAGAACCTGCAGGTGTTCCACAGAGTACGTATGGATGCATTAGTAAGTGAACCAATATATGATAAAATTGAGATAACGCAAATGTTTTGATATTGCCTTTTGCTTGTTCACTTATACATATTTTCTATTAAAAAAACTGTTCCAATGACGTGGACTAAATTGTGCAGGAAAATAGCACTTCTGAAAAATTGTTATAAGCCTGAAACTTCTGAATATTATTCTCAATAGCGTAGCTTTATTTTGCAGACTGTATTTTTGTGTGCTTGCACTTAATCACAATTCATTTTCCCTGGCTGTTGATGAACTGGTGTAAAGAATTTTGTAGCACTAAGTTAAGTATATTAAGAAAATGTCGGAAACTGAGTGATGGGAAGTCGTTAAATATTAGTTGTGATATGTCAAAATTTTGTTTTGTGCTGGTCACTGTATGAAGCAAGTCTTCATGTATGCTTATCCACTCATTCTCCTTGTAGCTTGTATACTAGGTAAATACATACTATTTTATTGTTCGATAATTTGGACTTTCCAGATCTTGTCACGTAGAGGTGAATGCATAGTATTTTATAATGGAAGTGTGTGTAATCATGTCCATCGTGTCATATTTTGAACTTTTAGTATTTCAATTGGGCATATGTGTTTATCATGTCACCTAGAGGCATCATGCTTGAACATGTTTGCGGCAACATGGCTATTTCATGTTAAGGTAAATTGCAGATAACTTCTCTCTTATAAAAAATTCGGTAGCACTTACAAACCGTCAACTCATTTATTAGCAATTGCTACACCTCAATTCATGGGACAGAAGGAAATTATCCCCAACTTATCTTCTCAAAATGACAACCCCAAGGGTGATAAGTGCTAATAAATGAATTCAGGGATAACAAGTGTCGCTGGAGGTATGGATGTAGAGGATGATCTACAATTTACCCTTCATGTTAGACATCTGTTTCAATGTATGCAGAATCAAACGTCTTCATGGAGGGAAAGTTTAGTCATATAGAAAACTCTAGGCGAGGCTTTTGAAATTTTTTAGAGTGGAAGGATGGAGATTGAGATCGTGCATTTCATGTCACATAGCTGATAACTGGTGTATCTTTGCAAACATTTTGGTCCTAGGTCGCATGTGTTTGAAAATTTTGGAGTTACTGTGCATGTGTCGTGGAATCTTGTTCATCTAGGTATTGTATCTATAGCTTATCTATTTCATTTCTATCTGTATGTCATGTCCATGTTGCTTAGCTCATCAGGGTAATGTCATATTTTAAGCCAATTGATCCTTTGAATTATTCCCCTCCTGTGAAATTTTTTGGTTGCAGACACACTCTTAACTTCCTAAGGTAGAGATTTGTTGTAACACCGTAAAATTTCTTGGATTATCTCTATGATTAAGGGGGATGACTAAGGGAAACTTGAGCCTGCGATGAATCTGTTTATGGTCGGACTCCTCCATCTTCACCCTAGCCGGCAGACTGAAACAACTCATTAGGCAGTGCCAGAATAATCTTTAGGATTGGAGGTTCTGTACGCCCTTCAATGTCTAAGTTAGGATCTCTCCCAAATATTAAAGAATAGTAAATGCGGCAAAAACCCTAGCAGAAGTTAGGTTAGAAAAATTAGCCGATGGTTCTTCCTTTTGTAGAGGTGCGTATGATCTGGATTATGAGGGAGATACACATGTCGGCATCTTAATTAGCTAGGGTCGCCATTTGTAGGTTACCATTTCTCTTTCTTTGCGGGAAATGGACAGTGATACATGCAACACGTTGAGGGTCAGATGCTGTTGTGAAATAATTCTTAAGTTAGGGTCCATGATCTGGGGGCTCTTTCCTTTCGTGTTCCATGTGTGAGGGACACTTGCTAGCGGGTGGTCTTTACAGTATAACCAGATTACATTGGTGATTGCAGTAGAATAACACCTTGTCTATTTAGAGAGCATCACCCTTCTCGAATACTGTTTGAACCTTCAAGTTAAAATTTCTTTTTTGTGTATTTTCAATAGCAGAAATGTGGAGATGCAGAAAAAAGGAGTTGTTAATTGGACTGAAGAAGCAGGCTGAATGCATTTTGCTGATGGTTGGTGGTATTACTTCTCTTTGATTGAAAGGAAATTTCTATATGTTTGTAGGTGAAAACTGTACAGTTTTTGTTCAGATATGATGGAGAAATCATGATAAAAATGAAGTTATAATTTTAAGCTCATTTTGTTCAGATATGTTGAAATTCCTGCGTGTTAGTTTCCCATGCTAATTGTATATCTTATCATTTTCATAATATTCCTATTTGATTCACCTCATGCATGGTCTCGTTGTTGATTAGTTAATCATTGCTATCCTAATGTTGTTTATTTCAGTTTTATACCTTCGATATCCTTGAATGATTTCATTGCAACAATTCGAATTGATTCGATGGTTCAACTATTGATAATGATAGTATTCCTCTCTTTGTTGATGATTGATTGTCTATATTCATGGATTATGCCCTGTGTGAAGTAAGCTTCACCGGTGGGTGGTAATGGTCAAAAACAAAAACTTCAGTCTTTTAGCATAGTAAAACCCACAATGTTTAAGATACTTGAAAAAGTCTTATGCATGTTAAGAAGAAAATGTCAAGGAAACAAAAATTTCTTGGGTTCTATCATGATTTTTAGTTTTCATAGCCTCTCACTTTTGGATCTTATACTTTTCTTTTTTTTTGCCAAGTAGAATAAAAAGGAACAATTGAACTAGATCCATCCATTATTTATCATTTTTTATTTTTCTGAAAGAAAGATCCAATAAAAGACTACCATGTCATCTGATAACGCTAATGTAAATATGGTTTAACAAACATCTTCTCTTTTTCCAGTTCAAGAAAATGCATTTATTTTGCTCAAATAATCTATTTTTGGAATTTCTTATTAGTGCAAAAATAGGGAGACAAAAAAATATTGAATGGTTGTTTGTGTTGCTTCTCGCGAAAATCAATGCTTTCTCCACAAACACTCGAGAATTTTGAGAAACAATTTACTCAATGGCTACTAAGATTTACTTTTGGGTTCTTTTTTCTCAAATAGCCCCTTTAAGATATTATAATAACAAATTTCTTTGTTTTGTGTTTCTCTTTCCTCCTCTTATTCTTCCTGAATCTTTGGCCATTGTTTGTGTGGTTTCGGCTCAAGAGTGATTCCACTCATCGGTCGATCCACACAAACACAATAATTTTCAATGAGATATTGTTCTTCTTCTTAGAAAATCATGGGTTTCTTATCTTGTTTTAAATCATCGACACAATCGAAATCGAAAAAGAGCTGGAAATGTTGGAAAAAGAAGGAAAAGGACAAATGGTTATCAGAAGAAAAGATATCGAAAAAGAGAAAAAAAAGGAGATTGTGTTGTTTTGGTGATGAAATATCATCAAAAGGGAAAGGATCATCAAATAAGGAAAGAAGCAAGTGGTGTTGCATTCGTAAGAGACCATCAAGGTATAAAGAACCATCGAGAAAGAAAGAAAAGTGTAGGATAAGTTTTTTTTGTTGTAAAGGATCATCAAACGATGAAGAACCATTGAGAAAGAAAGAAAAATGTGGGATTTGTTGTTCTTGTTGTAAAAGATCATCAAGTGCTGAAGATATATCAAGAAAAGGAGGAAAATGCGGGACATGTTGCTTCGGTCGCAAGAAACCTTCATCAAATGATCCATCAAAAATAAAAGAGAAGGGGTGCATGAGTTGTTTCAATTGTTGTAAAAAATCATCGAATGATCAACGAAAAGAAAAGGGGTGCAATAGTTGCTTCAATTGTTGCAAGCCATCTTCATCAAATGATCAAAGAAAAGAAAAGGGGTGCATGAGTTGTTTCAATTGTTGTAAGCCACCGAAGAAGGAGAAACGCATAGGAGGCAAAGAAAATGATATTAATTGTTGTGCTTGCACTTGCGCAAAATCTTCAGAGACGATAAGTTGTCTTTCTTGTTTCAGATCCTCTAAAAAGAATAAAAGAAAAAGAGGAGAAAGAGAGAGTGTAATGCCCTTGAATGAAACATGCTCAAAGGCTCTTGGTTCTTGTGGTTGCTCATGTTGTTCTTCTTTGGAGAACAAGAATGTGCACAAGGGTAAAGGGAAGAAAAAACATTGTTGGAAGAGGAAGGAGAAGAAGAAAAAGAATCATTTAGCTTCCCTTGTTAAGACAATATCTTTTAAATCTGGTATGTTCTCCTTATTTTTCCTTCTAGTTTCATGTTCTGATAGAATATTGCATTACTCAATTTTATAAGTTTTTATTGGCCAAGCTTGATCCTACACACAATAAGATTCAACGTATAGTTTACTCTTCATATTAACATCTTGCGAATTTCTAATGGTGACATGATCTCTATTTCGAAAGCATTGTAAATTTCTATAAACGCAGATAGTGGCAAGCATAGGTCTGCAGCTGAAGAAATTCTTCGTATTGGTAATGGTAATATTGCAGCAAAGGTTTTCACATACCGTGAAATTGTAATAGCAACACAAAATTTTGCACCAGAGTGTTTACTAGGACAAGGTGGATTTGGAAAGGTTTACAGAGGACAACTGAAGGAGACAAACCAAGTAATACACGCATTGTTGTTTCTTTCACTGTAGTTCATAACTTTTTACTTTGAATAATCTCAAACTTGCAATATTTGTGCTTACCTCAGATTGTAGCAGTTAAGAAACTCGATAAAACTGGATATCAGGGAAATAGAGAGTTTCTAATTGAAGTACTGATGCTCAGCCTCCTCAGCCATCCAAATCTTGTAAATTTGCTTGGATATTGTTCTGATAATGGCCAAAGGATTCTAGTATATGAGTACATGGCTCTTGGTTCTTTGCAAGATCATCTTCTTGGTATATAGATCACAAAATATTATCCCTCTACATTTTTTCTAAGAAAGAATTTTTTTCTGAATTTAGTTTGTTCGTATCAGATTTAGCTCCAAATACTAAGGCATTGAATTGGAACACAAGAATGAAAATAGCTGCAGGTGCCGCAAAAGGACTTGAGCATTTGCATGTTACTGCAACTCCCCCTGTGATTTATCGCGATCTGAAAGCATCAAATATATTGCTTGATCAGGATTATAACCCGAAATTGGCTGATTTTGGTTTGGCAAAGCTTGGTCCTGTTGGTTCTCAGAACCACATATCCACAAGAGTTATGGGAACTTTTGGTTATTGTGCTCCTGAGTACGCTTTAACTGGAAAGTTGACAATAATGTCAGATATTTACAGTTTTGGGGTTGTGCTTTTGGAGCTAATTACTGGAAGAAAGGCGATGGATTCGAGAAGACCAAGAAATGAGCAAAGACTAGTTGAATGGGTATGATTATTTTGAACACTTTCAATAATTTGCTTAACAGATGTTTACACATTTTATTGTTGAAAGAGTAACATACATACATTTATGTAGGGCATATGGTCATATAATTAAATAATTCTTCCACGTTATACTTAAAATTGTACAAATTCCATGGTTTTTCTTTATATGATCGAGCATACTTAACTAAAAGGGTTAATTGCGCATAGACCCCCTTTAATATCAATGTTTAGCATTTATTACCCCTGTAGGTTCATTATTGCAGATAGAGCCCCGGGTTAACTTCTTTTTTTATTTATTATTTAACGTTGGTGAAACTTTGGCAGATATTGCCCCTGATGAAATTAGTGAGTCTGTCTGAGTGTTGAAGAGTGAAAAAAATTTAACCCGGGGTCTATCTACAACAATGAAGCTACAGGGGTAGTGGTTCAAAAAGTAATACTAAAGGGGTCTATGCAATTAACCCTGACTAACAAGTAATTTTACTTGTAGGTGGCACTTTTATTCTCAGGTAATTACTACGTACAGAAATATTATAGGACTACTCTTTCAATCTTGGTTTAAATTGCTCGAGACCTGTAGGTGACGTGTCACGAGAAATATCACGAGATCTATTTGACATAGGAAACTAAAAAAGACTAGAAATACTACAGAGACACAAATTCTTCTCTACTTTGCTCTACAGAATCACTATACTGATGCATATCTCATTGAAAATATATAGGCAGCTCCGCTGTTCAAGGATAAGAAGAACTTCCTTAAAATGGCTGACCCGTTGCTCGAAGGGAAATTTCCTGTTAAGTCTCTGTATCAAGCAATTGCAATTGCTGCAATGTGTGTTCAAGAGGAGGATACTACTCGACCGCTCATTAAAGATGTTGCCAGTGCTCTTCAGTTTCTGGCAACACCAAACAACGGTTCCCCCTCTGAAGAGGAACCTGAAATTTCTAGCATTGAGAATGAAACTTCTGCTCAATCGCAAACTGCAACAGATTTTAGTCGCCCTATGAATAAAGATCCATCACATTCACATCATGATGCACAGGACTCATCAGATGGTGATTGGCAAAGTTGTTCAACTGTGACAGAAGATGAAGATGAACTTGTTGAGTTAGATACTGACGTAAAACTGGGGGATTCGGAACTTTGAAAGGAAGACTAGCGAAGATTTCTTCATTTGTCACTTTTTTGTTGCCTATAGGTTGCTACTAGGTGTTGTGTGTATTTTTTATCTTAGGATGATATGGTGGATGTCATACAATCTTTTGACGGTGTTGTTTTTGTAGATGGATGGTGCAATATTTAATTTGAAGAAAATGAAAGGGAGAAATTTTTG